AACTTGTTTTCCCCGAGTTAAAGCGTCAAGTGTTGAATAAAACTGTGTTCGTGATCCTTCTGTGTGTGTTTTGTGTTTCTTTTTTTTTTTTTTCTGTAGTGTGTGAGATCTGCTTCCATCTCCTCCTCATTTCAAACCACAAACCGCGGATTCTGTCGCCCGAAAAAAACAAATTAGAAACCGAAAACATGAATAATTCACTCATTAATAATGGACTCTGGTTTGGTCCATTGTTTAAACCACAAAAGCAGCGAAGGCCAAGCTCAGACTCCACCACCGCTCCCGTTTCTGAGCGACGGGTTTGGTCTGTGGAGAGGCCGGCTGCTCCTCTCCATGCTCCTGGTTCAGTCCCGTCTTAGTCCTGCTTTAGACTCTGTTTTAGACCTGGTTTTTGTCCTGGTTTAGACCTGGTTTAGACCTGTTTTAGTCTCTGTTTTAGACTCTGTTTTAGACCTGGTTTTTGTCCTGGTTTTTGTCCTGGTTTTAGACCTGGTTTTAGACCTGGTTTTAGACCTGGTTTTAGACTCTGTTTTAGACCTGTTTTAGACCTGGTTTAGTCTTGGTTTAGACCTGTTTTAGACCTGGTTTTTGTCCTGGTTTAGTCTTGGTTTAGACCTGGTTTTATTCCTGTTTTAAACCAGTTTTATACCTCGTTTTAGTCCTGTTTTAGTCCTGTTTTAGAGCTTGTTTTTGTCCTGGTTTAGACCTGGTTTTAGACTCCGTTTTAGACTCTGTTTTAGACCTGTTTTAGTCCTGGTTTTAGTCCTGGTTTAGTCCTGGTTTAGACCTGGTTTAGACCTGGTTTTTGTCCTGGTTTAGACCTGGTTTTTGTCCTGGTTTTAGACCTGGTTTTAGACCTGTTTTAGACCTGGTTTTAGTCCTGTTTTAGACCTGGTTCAGTCCTGGTTTAGATCTGGTTTTTGTTCTGGTTTAGTCCTGTTTTAGTCCTGTTTTCGACCTGGTTTTAGACTCTGTTTTAATCCTGTTTTAGTCCTGTTTTAGACTCTGTTTTAGACCTGGTTTTTGTCCTGGTTTAGTCTTGGTTTAGACCTGTTTTAGACCTCGTTTTATTCCTGTTTTAGACCAGTTTTATACCTCGTTTTAGTCCTGTTTTAGTCCTGTTTTAGAGCTTGTTTTTGTCCTGGTTTAGACCTGGTTTTAGACTCCGTTTTAGACTCTGTTTTAGTCCTGGTTTTAGTCCTGGTTTAGTCCTGGTTTAGACCTGGTTTAGACCTTTTTTAGTCCTGGTTTTTGTCCTGGTTTTAGACCTGGTTTTAGACTGTTTTAGACCTGTTTTAGACCTGGTTCAGTCCTGGTTTAGATCTGGTTTTTGTTCTGGTTTAGTCTTGTTTTCGACCTGGTTTTAGACTCTGTTTTAATCCTGTTTTAGACTCTGTTTTAGACCCGTTTTAGTCATGTTTTTGACCTGGTTTTTGTCCTGGTTTAGACCTGGTTTAAACCTGGTTTAGACCTGGTTTAGACCTGGTTTAGACCTGTTTTAGACCTGTTTTAGACCTGGTTTTAGACCTGGTTTTAGACCTGGTTTAGACCTGTTTTTAGACCTGGTTTAGACCTGGTTTAGACCTGGTTTAGACCTCGTTTAGACCTGGTTTAGACCTGTTTTAGACCTGGTTTTAGACTCTGTTTTAATCCTGTTTTAGACTCTGGTTTAGACCCGTTTTAGTCATGTTTTTGACCTGGTTTTTGTCCTGGTTTAGTCTTGGTTTAGACCTGGTTTAGACCTGGTTTAGACCTGTTTTAGACCTGTTTTAGACCTGTTTAGTCTTGGTTTAGACCGTTTAGACCTGGTTTAGACCTGGTTTAGACCTGGTTTAGACCTGTTTTAGACCTGTTTTAGACCTGTTTTAGACCTGTTTTAGACCTGTTTTAGACCTGTTTTAGACCTGTTTCAGACCCGTTTTAGTCATGTTTTTGACCTGGTTTTTGTCCTGGTTTAGTCTTGGTTTAGACCTGTTTTAGACCTGTTTTAGTCATGTTTTTGACCTGGTTTTAGACCTGGTTTAGACCTGGTTTAGTTTAGACCTGTTTTAGACCCGTTTTAGACCTGTTTTAGTCATGTTTTTGACCTGGTTTAGACCTGGTTTAGACCTGGTTTAGATCTGTTTTAGACCCGTTTTAGACCCGTTTTAGTCAAGTTTTTGACCTGGTTTAGACCTGTTTTAGTCTTGGTTTAGACCTGGTTTAGACCTGGTTTAGACCTGGTTTAGACCTGGTTTAGACCTGGTTTAGACCCGTGTTGCCGGGGCGAGAGTCGGTCGGCCTCGGCTGCAGCTGTGGTGCTCTCACGGCTCTTCTCGCTCTGGGGCAGAGTCCAGAAATCCTCAAAAACCCAAATATGAAGATAACAAACTTTTCTCTTCCGCGGTTCATGTGAGAAACAGAAGATAAAAGCAAGTAAAAGTAAAAATATGGAGTAATAAAGTTTTCAGAAATATTCGTGTGCGTGTTTGTCTGTAGTTGAACATAAAATAAATCTTGTTAAACTCTGGATTGAGTCGAGTCGTAAATAAAATGTTGTCGTGTTTATTTTATCATCAGAATATGAAGTGAAAAATTACAACGTCAAGAATTAAAATCACAAAATGAAAATGTACGATTACGATTTCATTAGAACGAAAATGAATTCACAGACGCGACTCGACTCAAAAATACAACATCACTTCACAAACAGAAGAAACACGGATCGATACGGACTAAACCAGGACTAAACCAGGACTAAACCAGGACTAAACCAGGACTGAACCAGGACTAAACCAGGACTGAACCAGGACTAAACCAGGACTAAACCAGGACTAAAATAGGACTAAACCAGGACTAAAATAGGACTAAACCAGGACTAAACCAGGACTAAACCAGGACTAAACCAGGACTAAACTAGGACTTAAAATAGGACTAAACCAGGACTAAAATAGGACTAAAATAGGACTGAACCAGGACTAAACCAGGACTAAAGCCAGGACTAAACCAGGACTAAAACAGGACTGAACCAGGACTAAAAATAGGACTGAACCAGGACTAAACCAGGACTGAACCAGGACTAAACCAGACTACTGAACCAGGACTAAAACCAGGACTGAACCAGGACTAAACCAGGACTAAACCAGGACTAAAACCAGGACTAAACCAGGACTAAAATAGGACTAAACCAGGACTAAACCAGGACTAAACCAGGACTAAACAGGACTAAACTAGGACTAAAATAGGACTAAACCAGGACTAAAATAGGACTAAAATAGGACTGAACCAGGACTAAACCAGGACTGAACCAGGACACCAGGACTAAACCAGGACTAAACCAGGACTGAACCAGGACTAAAATAGGACTGAACCAGGACTAAACCAGGACTGAACCCAGGACTGAACCAGGACTAGGACTGAACCAGGACTGAACCAGGACTGAAACCAGGACTAAACCAGGACTGAACCAGGACTAAACCAGGACTAAACCAGGTCTGAAATAGGACTGAACCAGGACTGAACCAGTCTCAGTCCCGGTCTCAGTCCTGGACAGTGTATACGGGCATACCTCCAGGCCCATCTCGAAACTCAGTCCTGGTTTAGTCCTGGTTTAGTCCTGGTTTAGTCCTCTATCCATTTTTTTCCCTTAAGGTTCGTTCACACCAAAGCGTCAAATCGTCCAGTTTCTCTGTAAAGTCGATGTGGACGCGCGACTGGGGCGTCCTGCGTTTTTGCGGCGCGTCTTCGGCGTCAACGCGGCGCGAATCTGGCGTCGCATCTTGAGCGTTTTGGCGTCAGCGGTCTAGACGCGCGTCCAAGGCGTCAGTGTCAAGAAGTTGAAAATGCTGAACTTTTCGCGTCGACCAATCAGGGCTGAGTATCCAGAGACGCAGCGACGTTATTATCAGGAAGAAAAACCCCGAGAACCAGAACCACAAACATGAACGGAACATGAATATATACACCACAAACACCGAGACGATCACCAGGACTAAACCAGGACTAGACCAGGACTAGACCGGGACTAGACCGAGACTAAACCAGGACTAGACTGGGACTAAACCGTGATTAGACTGGTATTAGACCGGGACTAGACCAGGACTGATCCAGTGTCATTAGTGGAGTATAAATATAAACTCGCTCCAGTCGTCGAGTCGATTTCCTCCGCTGATGTTTTATGTCATAAAAACACTAAAGTCTCTCAGTCTGGTCTGACATTGTTTCAGGAAAAGTCCAGGACCGGGCTCTTGTTTCCAGGGCAACGGACGCACGTCAAGTATTTTTCTCCCGTTCGTCCGCGGCGTCAAAGACACGAGCGTCGGGGGCGTCTGAACTCAAATGCAAAGGCTCCAAATAGAAACGTCAAGGCGTTTTTTGACGCTTTGGTGTGAACGAACCTTTATTGTTACACACTGGTGTCCGTTTGCACATCCCATTGAGTGTATTTTTATATTTCTGTATGTTTTGTGGCGTGGCTGGTCGTAGTATAAATAGCTGCTGTTGGCCTTTTGTGTTTGACCTGGTGGGAGCGGCTGTCCTGTTTTCGCCTTTTGTTTGGTCAGGTTAGTTTTGGGGACGTCTTTTTTCCTTTAGTTTAGCGATGTTGGTACCGGCTTCTACGGCCCTGTGCGGGGTTGGCCCGGTTCCGCATCATTTTGTTCTGTTTGGCCGTTCACCAGGTCCACCTTTCAGTTGTTACTTTGTTTTTGGGCACAGGAAGGTTTCAGCGTTTTTAAAGAAAATTAAAATTAACAACTTTTACTTTTGTAACCTTTTCGCCTTCTGTGTCCTCTTTAATATGTTTGATCCACCCGGGTTGTAGCACTTGGTTTTGGAGACAAATAAACAAGAAAACAGTTTTTTCATTTTCTTATTTTTATTTTGAAAAACAAATGAACGATACACGGATTTTAGTGGATCGTTTTGCTCGTCAAGTCGAATCTTCTCAAAGTAAAATGTTCTTAATCTTCTGTGTCTCGGTCTGTTGTATCTGAGTCTGATCGTGTCTCGTTTCTCCACAGTTCTTCAGGAAGGAGCAGGGAGATTTCTTCATCGGCTGTTTGTTCCTCACTGGAGGCTCAGCTCTGGATCTCTCTGGCTCTCTCTCTCTCTCTGGACTTCCTCTCTCTCCTCTCTGCTCTGGAGACTCTGGACTCTCTCTCTGGACTCCTCTCCTCTCTCTCTCTGGCACTCTGGACTCTGGACTCTCCTCTCTCTGCTCTGGACTCTGGATCCTCTCCTCTCTCTCCTCCTCCTCCTCTCTCTCTCTGGACTCTCTCTCCTCTCTCTCTCTCTGCTCTGGCACTCTGCACTCTGGACCTCCTCCTCTCCTCTCTCTGCGCTCTGGACCTCCTCCTCTCCTCTCTCTGCGCTCTGGACTCTGGACCTCCTCCTCTCCTCTCTCTGCACTCTGGACTCTCCTCCTCTCCTCTCTCTGCACTCTGGACCTCCTCCTCCTCTCTCTCTCTCTCTGGACCTCCTCCTCTCTCTCTCTGGACCTCCTCCTCTCCTCTCTCTGCGCACTCTGGACTTCCTCCTCTCCTCTCCTCTCCTCTCTCTGCACTCTGGACCTCCTCTCCTCCTCTCTCTGCACGCTCTGGACTCTGGACCTCCTCCTCTCCTCTCTCTGCGCTCTGGACCTCCTCCTCCCGCTGCTCCTCCACATGGAGCATGAGCAGTAGACTTGAGCAGGGGTCCGTAATTCTATTGATCAGGATTTGTCGACTTAAGGGCCCGTCCCACAGGACTCATGGACGGACCGTCAATAACACGCGATTAAGACAAGTGTGTGTCTGTGGGTTTTCATCTGCGTTTCCTTACGTGGCTGTAGTTTTTGTTAAAGCTGAGTAAACGTCTCGCTCCTGCTCCAGAACAAACAGGATTATCAGATATTACATTTGGAGATCGTATCGTTGGCTTTTGTATCGATATATCGAGTAGAGTAGAGTGTTTTTTCTTCTTCTTCTTCTTCTTCTTCTTGGTCTCTGGTTCGTGTCTCGGCCTCCGCACACACTCATCTCCAGGAACCGCGCGGGGCTCCGGGCCGTGGACATGAGCGACACCCGAGAGCACAGATCCGGTTCCACTCGCTCGGCGCGGGTCCAGACCGTCACCACGGCGACAGTTCGGGAAAACAATAAAGCCGCACCGTGGAGTTTGTAACACGACGGCATCGACCCACGAGGGGAAGATTTAACGTTTGTCCGAGTCTGACGTTTCCGCTCGAGGCTCCGGCCGACGCTTTTCTCCGCGAAGTTTATGGTTGTTGCTTTGTCTGGAATGTTCCGCAGTGTGGCATTAAAACTTTAAATTAAACTTTAGCTCCATGGAGACCAAACCAGGCAGAGTTACAGGTCAGATCTGTGGAGAGGCGACACCGCTAACAGTCACAATGTCTGTTTTTATAGGGATTTAGACCTGGTTTAGACCTGGTTTAGACCTGGTTTAGACCCGGTTTAGACCTGGTTTTAGGCCTGGTTTAGACATGGTTTAGTCCTGGTTCAATCCTGGTTTTAGACCAGTTTTAGACCTGTGTTAGACCTGGTTTAGTCCTGGTTTAGACTCTGTTTTAGACTCTGTTTTAGACCTGGTTTAGACCTGGTTTAGTCCTGAATAAATGTAAAAAGTGGAGCTGTTTAAAGTCACACTGCGGAACATTCCAGGCAGAGCAGTGACGTCTCCATGGAGAAAAACCTTTAACAGACCCTCCTCCTGAAAAGTTCCACAGTGGAGCTTTTAAACGCCTCCAGCTTCTGATTTAACCCCGTTTAAACTTCGAGTCTTGACAAACCGGGAGTCGAGTCTTGACAAAACGGGACTCGAATCGTAACAAAACGGGACTCGAGTCGTAACAAAACGGGACTCGAGTCGTAACAAACCGGGACTCGAGTCGTAACAAACCGGGACTCGAGTCGTAACCAAACCGGGACTCGAGTCGTGACAAAGCGGGACTCGAGTCGTAACAAAGCGGGACTCGAGTCGTAACAAAGCGGGACTCGAGTCGTAACAAAGCGGGACTCGAGTCGTAACAGAACGAGAGTCGAGTCGTAACAGAACGAGAGTCGAGTCGTGACAAACCGGGACTTGAGTCGTGACAAACCGGGACTTGAGTCGTGACAAACCGGGAGTCGAGTCGTGACAAACCGGGAGTCGAGTCGTGACAAACCGGGAGTCGAGTCGTGACAAACCGGGAGTCGAGTCGTGACAAACCGGGACTCGAGTCGTGACAAACCGGGACTCGAGTCGTAACAAAACTGGAGTCGTGTTTGTTTTTTTGTTTAACTCTTTCTTATTCGTCTGTTTACATCTACAAAACTCCAAACACACTGCGACTAATTAATGTAAACATAGATATATCATACACATATATACATACAAATACATAAAAAAATAAAATAAACAAATCATTGAATAAGTAAATGGAGACAGTCGGGTTACACTTTGAGTATAAAAAATGAAGCTCCTTTTCCCTGTAGTTCAGTTCAGATCGGTAATTCCAGAGCTGAAATGATCCAGATGATTCTAGTGAAGGTGTGTGGAGTTTAAAAACACAGTGGAGTTTGCGTTAAACCTGTTTTCTGTCTGGTCCGTGGAGCGCCGCTGCCCTCTGGTGTCCGCTTGGGGGTAAGTGCTACAGGTTCAGTAGAAAAACACTCGAGCTGTGACCTGGACTGAACTCTGCTGTGAGGATTCATCTGCTCCAACGTCACAATCATCAAACTCCTCACCACGTTTACTCAGCACAAAAACAAAACAAAAAAACTATTAAAAAAAAAACAGCCAGTTTATGAAAAGCTGCAGGAGAAACGATGAAACTGTAAATATGAAGGTTCAGGAACTACGGAACTGAGACTTAAACTATTCCCACATCACAATAAAATATAACGGTAACACTTTATAATAACTACATCTTATTTAGCCTTAATAAAGCATGAACAAAGACTTAATTAATAATGAACAAAGATTTAATTAATAATGATTCACGCTTAGTAAATGCTTAATAAAACATAATTTGTCTTCACTTTAGAAAAGCTCTCAAAAAGACTTAACAGCTGCCTGAATTATCATTGCATTGTGTTATTAGTAAATCATTCTCTCATAGTTTACTAATGATTAATAAATGGTTAGTTCATGAGTAATTAAGTATGAAATAATTATGAGTAACTATTTTCAGCACAGGCAAATTAAGTACAAGTGTGAATTAAGGCAGTAATTAAGTAGTTACTAAGCGTGAATCATTATGAATTAAGTCTTTGTTCATTATTAATTACGTCTTTGTTCATGCTTTATTAAGGCTAAATAAGGTGTAGTTATTATAAAGTGTTACCAATATAACAAAACAAACAACAAAAATAAATATAAATAATGATAATAAATTCTAAATATGTAGCAAAAAAAGAGCAAGAAACACGTGTGAAATATGAAATAATTATATCAGTGTAGATGTACAAGTCAAATAAACGAATTAATTGTGAAAACAAATAATAATAATAATAATAAAATAATAATAATAATGAATATATATACACACACACGCACACACATAATTTGTAGGGTGGGTATTAGAGTTAGAATTTGCCGATACGATACCTCGATACGGTACATGTACGATTTGATACAAAATATTACAAAAATATTCAATACGGTTCAAAAAAATAAAGGTTAAATCAGACACGTTAAACTCAGGCACAGGGGCCAAATTTGGCCCATGAATCTCACCAAATACAATTTGTATTAAAGCTGCTGCCGCCCACAGAGACTATAGACACATGATTTTTTTTTATTTTATTTAGAAGTTATTATTTTATTTTCTGTTTGTTCTGGATTCAGTGTTTAAGTGAAACTTTTATTAAACATTTATTTGAATAAGAAAAGATTTAGTAAGTAAGTAAGTCTTTATTCATATAGAGCTTTTCACACATGTCTTTTAATCCAACACAAGTTGAACCACATCAGCGACACAAGAGCTGGAGTTTTATCTTCACTTAGTTTATGTAAATTAGTGATGTGGTTTTAAGTTTTGTTTCTGTGAGATTTGAACAAAACTGAATTAAACACATTATAATGTCAAACAGCTGATGTGGATCTAGAGTCGTTATGTTTATATGTCGTAAAGTTGAATTTATTTCTGCAGATTAGTGCAGATAGTAATAATAATGATGATCATTTTAATATAAAAACATTAATGATTAATCGATAATCGATCGTTAATTCTCCCGACGATCGATTAAGAAAATTTCATCGAATGCCCGTCCCTAGTTGAACTTTTTAAATAAATATTTATAATATAAGCGCGTGTCAGGGAATTTACCCTAAGACATCAAATTACATTAAATAAAGACACACCAGAAAGAGACGGTTAAAATGTGTACTCGCGCAAGGAGAGTCGAGCCCAGTGTCTGTCAGCTCCCTGACCGACTCTGCTCAACAACTCTCCAAGTCACACTTTTATTGAAAATCATGTCACAGATAAGCAACACTTGATGACATCACAATACATACATTTCACATGTTCTCTTATAACTAACAATCGTCAACTGAACCACCCTCCCATTTCACATTTGATTACATATCCCAAAGACAGACAATTTAGTAGTTCCCCAAGGCCTTCAGTTTTAACATAAGATGGGACAAACCCAGAATTGTTGGCGCCCATAGTAGATTAGTTTAATCTGTCAGTTGACATGTCATTCATATCTGCTGCTGGTATCATGTCCTGTACTTCCTGAACCAAAACAGACCCAAAGCAATGTTGATTACACCATGATTAATATTTAAATGTTTCACCCTTTAAATGATTAATACTTTAGTGAAAGAATTACATATATAAATGAGTAACACTTTAATGAGACTTTAATCAAAGAAATACATTTATATCATAGAATTCTCTAACAGCGCGGAATAAAAAGTGAAAATGCATGAATGATAAATGAGGAGAGACGTGTGTACGACTCTAACTTTATTGTCATTTTACTTGTATTGCATTTTTACTGCTGTTTCATAATTATGTGGCTTGCACCAAAATTACTGAATAAACATAAGTTTAAAAAATAAAGTGAAGATGTGACGTCACGTTTGTGTTTTCTATTCAGACGTCGTCGTATAAACGTGGCCTCAGTTTCCTCCATAACCTTCTTCTTCTTCTTCTTCTTCTTCTTCTTCTTCTTCTTCTTCTCCTCTTCTACTCTTGTGTCACAGCTGGGTCTGCAGGAGTGTTGGATCCACAAAGCCAACGGTGTCATGGTGCTCTTGACCTTCTTCCTGTGCCGCATCGCCCTCTTCCCCTTCATGTACTGGAGCTACGGGCACCACTACGGGCTGCCGCTGCACCGCGTGCCCGCCCACCTGCCCGCCGCCACCAACCTGGGCAGCTGCTGCATCCTGGCGCCGCAGCTCTACTGGTTCGTGCTGCTGTGTCGGAAAGGCTACCGTCTGTACCGGCGGAGCAGAGAGGCCGCGCCGACGACGGGCACCGCCACGCCACCGGGGAGCGCCAAGGACAACTGACCCCCGGCCGCCGAACGCACCGCGGATATTTACACGAACATATCAGATTTAAATCTTCTTCTAGAGTTTTATGAATGGACAGACTGCGCCCTCTGCTGGTGAAACGCTGCTCAGACTCTTATTTATTTTGGTAGAATTTTCCACTACATTCACTTTGCTCCAAGAGGCTCAGGTCAGAGGGGCTCAGGTCAGAGGGGCTCAGGTCAGAGGGGCTCAGGTCAGAGGGGCTCAGGTCAGACGGGCTCAGGTCAGACGGGCTCAGGTCGGAGAGTCGGAGGAAACGCGGCGAGTTAAGCTTCATGTTTTTCGACTGCAGAAAAATAGAAAACCTAAATATAAAAGCGACACAAATCCAAATTACAACCAATTACGTCACATTCGTTTTTTTTTTTTTTATTTCAATTAAGAATGAAAAACATCAAAACGGGAAAACGGTTTATTTCATTTTTCCGATTTGGTGTCAAACAAAACAAACAGATTTCGACCTCTATTTCCGATATTTAAATTAAAACATTTACATCTTTTTTAATTTTGATATTTTACACTGGAAAAAACAAAATCTAATTACGTTAAAATGAGTTAAATTAAGAACATTTTACTATTTTACTTTTATTTGAGTCGATTCAGCTTCATTTTCCACACAATTTGACTCCACAAAACTATAATAAAAAAGTTTTTTATTACAGATCCAGGGTCGGTCAAAACCAGAAAATAAAATATCAGAATTTAAATATTTATTATTTGAAAACTTTAAATTAAATATTGGAAATGGAGCTCGAAATCAGTTTTGTTTTTTTGACACTAAAACTAATGAAATCACAAACTGTTTTCCCATTATAATGTTTTTCGTTCCTAATTGAAATTTTAAAAAACGAATTGTACATGGACTAATTCTGAACATGATTAATTTGAATTATTTTAGCATTTTTAGTTTATTTACTCGATTCATATCATTTGGTGAAACAAAGCTCGACAGTGACGCCTCCTCCTGGATCTGACGCTAAATTTTCCGTTGATTTTTCCCGTAGACTTTCAAAAAAATAATAATATTAAAAGTGTGAACGCTCCGAACGAATCAGCTCCGGAGAAACTAATTACAACTAAACCTAGAATTGTTTTTATTTAAAATCTTGTGTTTGAAATGTGCCGTGAACTTTGAACTGAATATTTGAATTTTAAAGAAAAGTCTACGGGAAAAATGATGGAAAATTTACCAGAGCGAGCGTCACACACGAGCGTTTTCTTTTTGTTTTTTTTATTATTTTTTACAAATTTTCTGCAAGTGGAGAATTTTATCAAACGTCGTCCTCCACTCGCAGGAAATTTGAAAAAATAAAAAAAATAAAAAAATTCTAAGCCCCCGAAAATTATAAGAATTTATTTATTTTTTTCAAATATTTTAAAATATCTGTGATTTTTAGATCTTATTTTCTTGCAGTTCTTGACAGGTCAGCTCATATCCTTTTTAATGTGATTTTTATCTTTACTGTAACGACGGTTTCCGGAAACTGAAACCGTAAACTTCTGCCGATTTGTTGTAGCAGCTTGATTTTCGCCTTTTTAACGACTAAAGCTGTTCTTTTTAATTAATTTAACGAGCGTTTCCGGCGAATATTTTTGAACATTACGTTGGCGACGACAAACTGACGATTTTAGGGCTCGACGTGAAAAAACAATTATAATAATAATAAAACGTGACTACTTCTGTTTTACTTTGTTTACTGTTTTAGTTTACGATTTTATTTTGAAATTTTGAATACACTTTAATATCAAATAAAGACCAAAACAAACTTTGGATTAAATAATAAAAATCTTAACTAATGTTTATGCTTCAAAATTAAAGTCCCTTCGTGTAACATTTCAGCCAAAAAAGCAAGAAACTAAATCGCATCTCACCAGGACTAAACCAGGTCTAAACCAGGTCTAAACCAGGTCTAAAACAGGACTAAACCAGGACTAAACCAGGTCTAAACCAGGACTAAACCAGGACTAAACCAGGACTAAACCAGGACTAAACCAGGACTAAACCAGGTCTAAACCAGGACAAAACCAGGACTAAAACCGGTCTAAGCCAGGTCTAAATCAGGACTAAACAAGAACTAAACCAGGACTAAACCAGGTCTAAACCAGGTCTAAACCAGGTCTAAACCAGGTCTAAACCAGAACTAAATTAGGTCCAAACCAGGACTAAATTAGGTCCAAACCAGGACTAAACCAGGACTAAGCCAGGTCTAAATCAGGTCTAAATCAGGTCTAAATTAGGTCTAAACCAGGTCTAAAACAGGTCCAAATATTTTAAAATTTCAGTGATTTGAAATATTATTTTCTTGAAGTTTTTTTTTTTTTTTTGACAGGTCAGTTCTGCCTTTCATTTCCTTTTTCATGATTCTAGTGAAGATTTGTGGAGTTTAAAAACACCACGGAGCACTTCCTGTATCACCACATGATGACATCACACGGTGGAACGGAGAGTTTTCAGTTTGGGTTGAGAGAAAAACTCGGCCTAAATCTCCAAAAAGCAAAACAAAAAACAAAACACGACATTATTAAAGGAATAAATCAGAAAATAGTTAAATATGGGCACTTTAACTGAAATGTTACACGTTGGGGCTTTAATTTTCTCTCCTAAACACTGGGATGAAAATGAACAGATATTGAACAGAAATTATTTTTTTATTCCAGGGTTTTTTTCTCGTGTTTTTCTGCTGCTCTGACGCTTTCCTTTCGGGACCTTTCGTTGTTCGTGACCAATTTTAGTGTTTTATTTTATTTTATTTTTTTATTTTATTTTATTTTTTTGCAGATGATTTTTACTTTCACGTTCTGCGCGGTCGGTTCTGTTGTTTAAAGGAGACATGATGTGCAGCCTGGAGGCGTCGGAGTCGTTTTTGGTCTGATCCACGTTTGAGTCGGACGTTTTTCTCCGGATTTTAAAACGACTTTGACGAGAAACTTTCTGACAGTTTTAGAGTTTTAGAATTACAGAGGTCTAAACCAGAACTAAACCAGGTCTAAACTAGGTCTAAACCAGGTCTAAACCAGGTCTAAACCAGGTCTAAACCAGAACTAAACCAGGTCTAAACCAGGTCTAAACCAGGTCTAAACCAGGTCTAATCCAGGTCTAAACCAGAACTAAACCAGGTCTAAACTAGATCTAAACCAGAACTAATCCAGGTCTAAACTAGGTCTAAACCAGGTCTAAACCAGGTCTAAACCAGGTCTAAACCAGAACTAAACCAGGTCTAAACCAGGTCTAAACCAGGTCTAAACCAGGTCTAAACCAGGTCTAAACCAGGTCTAAACCAGGTCTAAACCAGGACAAAATCAGGTCTAAACCAGGTCTAAACCAGGTCTAAACCAGATCTAAACCAGGACTAAATCAGGTCTAAACCAGGTCTAAACCAGGACTAAACCAGGACTAAACCAGGACTAAACCAGGTCTAAACCAGAACTAAACCAGGTCTAAACCAGGACTAAACCAGGACTAAGCCAGGTCTAAATCAGGTCTAAATTAGGTCTAAACCAGAACTAAATTAGGTCTAAACCAGGTCTAAACCAGGACTAAACCAGAACTAAACCAGAACTAAACCAGGTCTAAACCAGGACTAAACCAGAACTAAACCAGGTCTAAACCAGGTCTAAACCAGGACTAAACCAGGACTAAACCAGGACTAAACCAGGTCTAAACCAGAACTAAACCAGGTCTAAACCAGGACTAAACCAGGACTAAGCCAGGTCTAAATCAGGTCTAAATTAGGTCTAAACCAGAACTAAATTAGGTCTAAACCAGGTCTAAACCAGGACTAAACCAGAACTAAACCAGGTCTAAACCAGAACTAAACCAGGTCTAAACCAGGTCTAAACCAGGACTAAACCAGAACTAAACCAGGTCTAAACATGTACTGAATCAGGACTAAAATTGGATTAACCAGAACTAAAACAGGTCTAAACTAGGTCTAAATTGGGTCTGAACCAGGTCTAAAGCGGGTCCAGTCCAGGACCAAACCAGGTCTAAACCAGGACCAAACCAGGTCTAAACCAGCACATTATGTCTCGTCTTTAACAGTTTTTGTTTCTTTTGGGGCTGGTGTGTGAAGTGTCTTCTGGCGCCCTCTGGTGGTCAGAGCGAGAACAGCGACATCAGGACAAAGAGACGCACGTCCGACGCCTAAAAACGCCAACAAAAAAAAAACCTCCATCGCCTAAAGACACAAAAATAAAATAAAATAAAATCCCTCTTCAGCCCGAGCTTTTCTTCTCCTGATCTGATCTGGACGAACCGTTTTCAGGGGAATTTTCAGATTTGCACAAACACGTCTTCGCCGTCTTCCACTGGAGCCGTGAGCTGTGACCTTTCACTCCGTTTGAGTTTTTCTGAATCTTTCTGCGTCGTTTTGCGTCGTTTTGTATGACTGAGTATAAGGGTCAGATAAAAAAAAAATAAAAAATCATGCTGGCGCTACGAGAATAAAGTCATAATTTTACGAGAATAAAGTCATAATTTTACGAGAATAAAGTCATAATTTTACGAGAATAAAGTCATAATTTTACGAGTATAAAGTCGAAGTTAAAATAAAGTCGTAATATTTTGAGAATGAAGTCGTAATAAAATCAAAGTCAAAGTGAAAAATGCGGCAGAAGAAAAACCTTGTTTTTCAATATAAAACCAAAAATAAGAAAATTAACAACAATTTTCTTCATTATTTGCGCCTCCGGAACCAGGACTAAACCAGGACTGAACCAGGACTGAACCAGAACTAAACCAGGACCGAACCAGGACTAAACCAGGACTAAACCAGGTCCGGGACCAGACCAGGACTGAAAATGATTTAGTCCTGATTCAGTCCTTGTTCAGTTGAATGAACGAACGATACACAGATTCTTCTCTTTTACAAAATGCTCCAAATTCTCCACGAGCAGCTGATTTTCTCCTGATATTAACACTTTATTTTATTTTTTTATTACGACTTTTTCTGGCTTCGACTTTATTCTCATAATATTACGACTTTAATGTCGAAATGTTATGACTTTATTCTCGTAGCGTCAGCATTTTTTATTTTTTTTATCTGACCCTTACACTCCGTCATAGTTTTGAGTTTTTTTGAGTCGTTTTGAGTTTTTTTTGTGTGTGTGTTTTTCTGGTTGAGGCCGAGTCGACTCGAGTGCGACGCTAAAAAACTCGTGACAAAACACCGGCCGAGATTCCACGTTTACTGTTTGTACGGATCATCTGTACCGGATTTTTTTACTGTGTCACTTTTCCGTTCGGCGTCCGTCAACCTGCTCGTTTCCACGGAGACGTCACTGCTCCGTCTGGAATGTTCCGCAGTGTGACTTTAAACAGCTCGACTTTTTACGTTTATTCAGTCACCGGAGGATTTAGAGCTCGGAAATACTTCGAAAAACAAACGTTCTGACTGTGAGCGACGTCGCCGCTCCACAGATCTGACCTGGACTAAAGATGGACTAAACCAGGTCTAAACTAGGTCTAAACTAGGTCTGAATCAGAACTAAACCAGGACTAAACCAGGTCTAGACCAAATCTAAAAGAAGGTTTAAACCAGGTCTAAAATCAGTTCTAAACCTGGTCTAAAACAGGCCTAAACTAGGTTTGAACCAGGTCTAAACTAGCTCTGAATCTGGACTAAACCAGGTCTAAACTAGGTCTAAAAGAAGATCTAAACCAGGACTAAACCAGGTCTACACCAGATCTAAAAGAAGGTCTAAACCAGGTCTAAAACAGGTCTAAACTAGGTCTGAATTAGAACTAAACTCTAGGACTAAACCAGGTCTAAACCAGGTCTAAACCAGGTCTAAACCAGGACTAAACCAGGTCTAAACCAGGTCTAAACCAGGACTAAACCAGGACTAAACCAGGTCTAAACCAGGATCTAAACCAGGTCTAAAACAGGCCTAAACCAGGTCTAAACCAGGTCTCAACAGTGGAACATTCCAGACGGAGCAGTGACGTCTCCATGGAAACAAACAGGTGACCGACTCCCGAAGTGAAAAGTTCCACAGTGCAGCTTTATCATAGTTTTCAGTAAATGTTCTTTATCGTTTGGTCGGTGTCGCGCGTCGCTTCAGAGCAAGAATCTCCCGACCCGCCGAGTTCTTTCAATTTAATCCAAATAATTTAAGGTTTTACGACTTAATTTAACGGATTAAAACTCGCTGTAAATATAAATAAAACTTTTACGCAAATCGAGAAACAAGTTTACGAATTAAAGTTTTTTTTTTAAATCCGCTGAAAACGACGTCGCGCCGAAAGTTTACGCACAATTTACACATTTACAAACACTTCTGCATTTTAACAAAGTCGTGATTATCGTTCGACGAAAATAAAAATATCGTTTACGTTCGAGGAGGTTCCGGCGTAAAACGTGGTCGCTACGGTAACGACGTCGAGTGGAGTTGTTTTCTTTTGTTTTTCCTTCTTAAAATTCTTAAACTTACGTCGTTTTCAAAACACTCGATCTCGTAAACCGGGTCTAAACCAGGTCTAAACCAGGTCTAAACCAGGACAAAACCAGGACTAAACCAGGTCTAAACCAGGACTAAAACCAGGTCTCTAAACCAGGTCTAAACCAGGTCTAAACCAGGACTAAACCAGGTCTAAACCAGGTCTAAACCAGGTCTAAACCAGGTCTAAACCAGGACTAAAACCAGGACTAAACCAGGACTAAACCAGGTCTAAAACTAAACCAGGACTAAACCAGGACTAAACCAGGACTAAACCAGGTCTAAACCAGGTCTAAACCAGGACTAAACCAGGACTAAACCAGGTCTAAACCAGGTCTAAAACCAGGTCTAAACCAGGTCTAAACCAGGTCTAAACCAGGACTAAACCAGGACTAAACCAGGTCTGAATCGGGTCTAAACTTGGACTAAACTTGGACTAAACCAGGTCTGAATCGGGTCTAAATTTGGACTAAACTTGGACTAAACTGGGTCTGAATCAGGTCTAAACCAGGACTAAACTTGGACTAAACCAGGTCTGAATCGGGTCTAAATTTGGACTAAACTTGGACTAAACCAGGTCTAAACCAGGTCTAAACCAGGACTAAACCAGGTCTAAATTTGGAGTAAACTAGGTCTAAACTAGATCTGAATCGGGTCTGAACTAGTTCTGAATCCGGACTAAACCAGGTCTGAATCAGGTCTAAACTTGGACTAAACCAGGTCTGAATCGGGTCTAAATTTGGACTAAACTGGGTCTGAATCAGGTCTAAACCAGGACTAAACTTGGACTAAACTTGGACTAAACCAGGTCTGAATCGGGTCTAAATTTGGACTAAACTGGGTCTGAATCAGGTCTAAACTTGGACTAAACTTGGACTAAACCAGGTCTAAACCAGGTCTAAACTGGGTCTAAACTTGGACTAAACCAGGTCTAAACCAGGTCTAAACCAGGTCTAAACTTGGACTAAACTTGGACTAAACCAGGTCTGAACTGGGTCTAAACTTCTTCTTAAAATTCTCAATCTTACGTCGTTTTCAGGCGCTCGATCTCGCCGGGTCCCGTTGTCCCGCGTTTCCTCGCTCGGTTCCTCCTCGTGACGTCATGAGGTGGCACATCCCCCCCCCCCGCGCGCAGTTGCTCCTCTGCGTTTTTAAAGCCCGTACGGCGTCACCTTCCGCGATTTTTTTACCGTTTTCTTTCGCCGTTGTTTGCCTCGTTTTCGCCGCTTCCCGCTGTAGCATCGCTCCGTTGTTTTTTCTATGCACTGAAATCGTAATATATTCCGATTTTTTCCGTACGTTTTTAGATTTTTACGCCGCGAAACGTGAAATTGAGAGATCGTTTAGTTAGAGGTTTCTGAATACGTCTTAATTTTTGCTGATAGTTTGAGTGTTTTTTTTGTTTTTGTTTTTACTTGACTAAAGTGAGTGAGTTTAAATAAAATTAAAATTATTATGTTGATTTACACTTTTCTTGTATTAATTTTATTTATTATTATTGTTTTTTGTTGTTGTTGTTTACCTGTTCCCCTTTAACGTGACGTTATGCAAAGACAAAAGAGCGAGATGCCTTCAAAGACGCCGCGCTTTTGGAGTTTTCCGGAAAAGGGCTCTGATCCGAAAAGCTTTACATTTATCTGGAAAAATGTAAAAGTTTATGCAGATTGTTCGTAGTTTTTGGAAGTTTCTTGAAAAGATTTGATTCTTTTCGGCCTGAATTTCGTAGGATTTTTGGGTCAAACGTTCGAGTGAAAATAAAAAAAAATAATCTGAAGTTGATTTTTGTTAAACGAGTTGAGACCACAGACGTCGTGATTCTGTTTCCGGGTCCGAGGTCCGACTGGTTTTACACACAGACCAGAGCGCGGATCGGGACGAGTTTTTCTGTCTGGTCCGAGTCCGAGTCCGAGTCCGACAGAGCAGCGATCGAGTCCGACTCGATTAAAATCACAATATTTTCACAAAGGAGGATACGGTTTGGATCCTTCTAAATCACACAGACTGAGTAGTAGGTCTAAACCAGGTCTAAACCAGGTCTAAACTTGGACTAAACCAGGTCTAAACTTGGTCTAAACCAGGTCTAAACCAGGTCTAAACTTGGTCTAAACTTGGTCTAAACTTGGACTAAACTTGGTCTAAACAGGTCTAGGTCTAAACCAGGTCTAAACTTGGTCTAAACTTGGTCTAAACTTGGTCTAAACTTGGACTACTAAACTTGGTCTAAACCAGGTCTAAACCAGGTCTAAACCAGGTCTAAACTTGGACTAAACCAGGTCTAAACCAGGACTAAACTTGGACTAAACCACGTCTAAACTTGGTCTAAACTTGGTCTAAACTTGGTCTAAACCAGGTCTAAACCAGGTCTAAACTTGGTCTAAACTTGGTCTAAACTTGGACTAAACTTGGTCTAAACCAGGTCTAAACCAGGTCTAAACTTGGTCTAAACTTGGTCTAAACTTGGTCTAAACTTGGTCTAAACTTGGACTAAACTTGGTCTAAACCAGGTCTAAACCAGGTCTAAACCAGGTCTAAACTTGGTCTAAACTTGGACTAAACTTGGACTAAACTTGGACTAAACCAGGTCTGAATCAGGTCTAAACTAGGTCTTAACCAGTACTAAACTTGGTCTAAACTAGGTCTAAACTGGGTCTAAACCAGGACTAATCTAGGTCTAAACTTGGACTCAACTAGGTCTAAACTAGATCTGAATCCAGTCTAAACCAGGTCTAAACCAGGTCTAAACCAGGACTAAACCAGGACTAAATTGGTCTCAGTCTCGGTCCTGGTCTCAGTCTTGATGCCTGTCTGATCCCGGTCTGATCCTGGTCTTGGTCCTGGTCCCAGTTCTGGTCTCAGTCTTGGCCTGGTCTTGGTCCTGGTTCAGTCCTTTATCGTTTTTTTTTTTTTTTTTTTTTTTTTTTTTTTTCCATTTTTCATTTAAACACAAAACTGAAACCTGAAAAAACGAATCGTTATGTTTTTTTTTTTTTTTTTTTTGGTTTTGGAGACAAATAATGAAGAAAATTGTTGATTTTCTTATTTTTAGTTTTAGTTTGAAAAACAAATGAACGACACACGGATTAACCCGCTCCACACGATCCTGGAGTTTTTATTTTGCAATTTCGTCCGTAAATCCCCCCCCCCAAAAAAACTCCAGATTGGCTTCGATGAGCTTCGTTTGACTGGAGCCGGAGATTCAGATTGTACAAAAAAAAAAAAAAACTGATTTATTTTTGGTTCTGAAATGTCGGATCGTACAGAGTCGAGTCGGGTTTTTGGGTTTTTTGAGTTTTGCCGAGCGCCGGGTTCAGACGCAGCATGACGGCCGCAGGTTTTTCTAGCATTCAGACTTTTCATATGCAAAGAATTAACGATTATTATGATGATTAATTTTATTCTGATGATTATTGAAGCTCTTTTGTAGTGACTCGTTTGCTGAGGTTGAACGCGAGTGTGAGCGTCGGCGTTTCGTCGTCGCGTCGTCGTTTTGTTGTGGAGGTTTCGCTGCTTTTCAAATCAATGACCCTTTAAACTCAATAAAATCATTTGATACAAACTTTGGCTCCTGTTGTTTTTATTTTTGTTTTCTAAAAGTTCCTCTGTGTTTTTCTAAAAGTCCACTTATTGCCGGAAACTAAACCAGGTCTAAACCAGGTAAACCAGGACTAAACCAGGTCTAAAACCAGGTCTAAAACAGGACTAAACCAGGGTTAAACCAGGATTTAACAGGACCATGCTGTGTGGGTGTCTTCTCGTCTTCTATCAATAACATTTTTAATTTGCTTAAATAAACTCTGAGCTTTTTATTTTCTTTTAGCAGAGAAAACTTCTTATGTGAAGATTTCCTCGTCTTTGTTTCTCTACAGCAAATCAAGTAATCCAAAGTATTCAGATTATGTCACTCACTTTAAGTCATTTAATGGATTCTGTTACAAACTACATTTTAGTGTTGGTAATCTGTAATCTGTAGGGGATTACATTTTAAAAGTAAACTTCAAAACACTGACTTTACTGACTGGTGCTTGAGCTTCGTGCTCCTCAAAGTCCTCGTCTGATTCTGGGTCCAACACGTGCGGCTGAACGCGCTGTGTCTCCATGATGAATAAAAGTTTATTCCTGCCGCTGTCAGGGTCACGTCTGTCTCCCCCTCCCTCCCTGAGACGGCGGAGGAAGGGCGGCTCACTCAGAGTCTACGTCACGTTTGGAGGGCGGAGCCTGTGCTTTCTCAGGACGGGCGGGGGGAGGAGCAATAGTCGGACTTTCATAGTTCCTGGTCTGTTTATTTCAGAACTATTCTGTCATGGATGTTCCAGAACCCAAACTGTGCTTGAATATGTGCAGAAGATACAATGTGAAAAGAGTTATTTTACATGAGACAGGACATTTAAAGATACCAACCTTAATAATCTGTGTGTCGTTCGTTCATTTGTTTTTCATTATAAAACCAAAAATAAGAAAACAAAAAAACAACAGTTTTCTTCATTATTTGTCTCCAAAGCCAAAATTTAAAAAATGGATAACGGGTTTACGTGACTTCCATGACTGCGATATCTTACTTTTGCACTACACACCAACTGAACCAGGACTGATCCAGGTCCGGGACCAGAGCAGGAGCTCTGAGCCTCCGGTCTGGTCCCAATCTGGTGCTGGCCTGGTCTCAGTCTCAGTCCCGGTCTCAGTCTCGGTCTGGTCCCCGATCTGGTCCCGGACTGGTCCCGGCCCAGTCTCGGTCTCAATCCTGGTCTGTTCGAAGTGTGGTCCCAGTCTGGTCTAGGCTCTCACTTGCAACGCACTCTAGTTGTTTGACAGTCTAACGAGATGTGGCTCTTATCGCCGTGCTGTATAACACTGGGCTTGTCATCACCACTTCATCACATCGCACTCATCCATCGTTCGACCAGGGCGATGCCAAGACGCTCTTACAACTAAAACCTTAGACACAAAAACCTCTGCACTAGTGCCTCGCTCTCTGACGACCTCCTCCTCTGCCTGAGGACCTGCTGTGGCTCCTGCTCCTGCTGCAGTCTCCGGACCCTCAGTGTCACGGCCCTTCCCCGTCCTCTTGCCCTTTGCCTTCCCTTTGGGCGCCATCTCCTCGGCAAAAATTTGGTGTGTACAATATGTCCGCTATGACTCATGTGTGCCCGCACGGGCATCGCATCAGCTTTTATATGGGTCGCACGACCCTGGTAGCTCACACGAGGCCTGCATGTGACCTGTAGGAACAATGCAATTGGCCCGTCCGGGACCCGTGCGTGGGCTGCAGGAATTCGGGCGTGAGAAAATGGAAAAACCTGTAGGACACACCTGCGTGATGCGTACTTGACCCGTACTTCCCCCGTAAGTGTCAGATACCTGCTACGAGCTGCTGCCTGAAACTGCTGAAACTTGTACCGGCCACTTGTGAGCCCCGTACAGACTTGACCAAAAATTGCCAATGAACTGCCCGTGGGAACCCTGCAGGTTGTTGTGACTAAGGCTTTAGTCGTGGAAAGAGCAGATATACCACAGACTTAAACATGGAAATTAAATTTCAAACTTCCGGTCATCATGAAACCTACACTGGGAAGGATTTTCCAAAAAAGTGAGCAACAAATACTCCATGTTTGATTTCTCAGTGGGATGTGTCTGTTGATAAAGTTGATCTTTTTCTGGTTCTGATATTGTCATATTTTAGTTTTGGGATTCGGAGATCGTGTGGTTGTTGGATCCAAACAGCGGAAAACGACTCGAGAAATGGGCTTCAGAAGTTTGTGAACTCCATAAGTGAATCAGATGTGTGTGACTCAAACCACCGTTCACTAATTTTCAATTCCGTTGTGAAGGGAAACAGTTTGAATGGACATACAGCCCCTTAAGGAGGAGTTTTTCAAAATACACTGCTTTCACACAAACATGTAAATGTAACAGGAATAAACATAATATAATAAAAAAGAAACAACATGACAGAACCAGCTGTGAGAACATTACATTTGTCTTTACAATAAAGTTAAGCAGCATCACATGGCAGAAGTAACAGAATTAAAGCAGCGAGACAGAGTCAGCCCTGTGACTGCAGGCTCTTTACAAACTAACATGTGTCAAGGGTCACATTTTTATACAACACTTTTTCATCTTCAAAACTCAAAAGAGCTTTACAACAAGAACCACTCACCTGTTCACACACACACACACACACACACACCAGTGTACGTACACATCAACACTGAATAAATTCAATAAATAAATGTAGCTGGATCTAAAATAAAAACTGCCGTCTTTTCAAAATAAAGTGTCACTTTCCTTCACATTGGGTGATTCTCTGTTCCCAGGATCCTTCCTCCAAAGATCACTCTGTATCACTCCTCCAGACTCCTCCAGAGTCTCCTCCTCCAGAGTCTCCTCCTCCAGAGTCTCCTCCTCCAGAGTCTCCTCCTCCAGAGTCTCCTCCTCCAGAGTCACTGCTGCTGCTCACACTGAGCTAACACTAAATAAATAAATGCACAGTCTGGAACATTTTGGGGTGACAGAATAACTGTGTCCTCGGTCTTCTTCTTTAAGAGATTTTATCCTGATTTGAATGAATTTGATCTGATAACAGAGACCTGCAGCACTGTGGCTAAAACTGCTAAATATTTACTTATTTTTTATTGTGGAATGAGTTTTGGTTCATTAAAATACATTAAGCCAACCGGAGGAGCTGAGCTTTGGGGGCAGCGCTCTGAGCTCTGAGCTCTGAGCTCTGAGCTCTGAGCTCTGAGCTCTGGGCTCTGAGCTCTGAGCTCTGAGCTCTGAGCTCTGAGCTCTGGGCTCTGAGCTCTGAGCTCTGAGCTCTGAGCTCTGGGCTCTGAGCTCTGGGCTCTGAGCTCTGGGCTCTGAGCTCTGAGCTCTGAGCTCTGAGCTCTGGGCTCTGAGCTCTGAGCTCAGAGCTCTGAGGACGAGGAGCCTGGCAACCGGGAAACACCCATTTTCTCTAAGACTCCAACATTCAAAGCACTTGGAGTCATTTCTGTTGATTGTCAGCAGATGGCGCTGTTCTTCAGTCGCTATGTTAAACTTTCAAACCTTTAGTCAAATTTTTTTGTGTACTTTAAAAAAAAATTGATACAATGGATCAGTTTGGAAAAGGAGAAGTCCTTTGGTAAGTCAGACACATAGTCATTCCCCAGTTTGAGTCATTTACCAAACTTGTGTCAATCATGTTAGTTATTAATCTGACTACATTTGAACTGTTTTACTTGTCAGAAACGGTAAAAATGTTCATCTGTTTTCAGTGCTGTAGCCTCAGTTTGCCAGGCTAATTTTAAATTAGGTAAGTTTTGGTTCTGACTCAAATTAGGGAAGCAGAGCTGTGAAAGTGCTCACTTTGAACTTGGGACATGGGACTTGGGAGTCCTGAAGAGCGACTAAAGACCCAATACAAGACCCCGCCTCCAGGCAAGAGCACACAGGAGACCAGGACTAAAATGACTATCCAGAATGTGCTCAGTCCGAACTCTCCTGGAGAAGAACCTACACCAAAGAAAAGAAGGGTTAGAGAAAAGTCTGAGACTTGGCTCAGATGATCCTTAATAACAATAATAAATCTTTATTTATAAAACACTTTTAAAAACAAGGTTTATAAAGTGCTGTACATGCAGCAAAGAACAATACAGAAAGCTTAAAAATAGCACACAAAAAGCACAACAACAGACAATGATGCAAACAATCCAATTAATATATTGTATATAATAAATTAATAAAAAGAAATAGAATAAAAATACGGACTAAAATCAAGCTAAAACTAGTTGAAATGAAGGCCAACCAATAAAAATTAGTTTTAAGAAGTGATTTAAAAGAAGATCCTGATGGTGTGAGTCTTATCTCCTCAGGCAGGTCATTCCAAAGTCGAGGCGCTCGGACTGAAAAGGCCCCACCACCTTCGTCCGGAGCTTGGACTTTGGAACAGCCCCAGGGACCTGAGGATCTAAGGCTCGTACGGGGTTAAAAGTTCTGAGATGTAACTTGGTGCGAGACCTAAACGAGCTTTAAAATTGATGAGTAAAATCTTCAGATCTATTCCAAAACACACACTAAACAACACTAATGTGTTTTTGCCTGTTACACCGAATGAGGAGCCAAGCTGCTGCATTCTGAACGAGCTGGAGGTGAGAGAAGGATTTGGAGTGGAGGCCAGAGAGGAGGGAGGTGCAATAGTCTAGACGGGAGAAGATAAGCATGTGGACGACTTTTTGAAGATCAGGGCAGGAGAGGATAGTTTTGATTTTGCTGACTGAGCAGAGGTGGAGAAAACAAGATTGGGTGGCTGTTTTGATGTGAAGGTGGAAGTTGAGGTGAGAGTCAAAAATGACGGCGGGGTTTCTGGCAGCGGGGTGATGCTGGGAGCGAGAGGCGGAGACTGTTGCTGATATGAGAGGTGGATTGGGGGGATTGATTAAAATTATTTCAGATTTGGAGCTATTGAGTTGTAGGAAGTTCTGTGCCATCCAACTGTTCGCGTCACTGAAGCAGTTTAATGTAGCAGCCAGGCTCCCGGGGTGTTTGGTCTCAGTGGGAAGTAGATCTCTGTGTCCTTGGCAGAGCAGGGGAAGGACATGTTATGACAGGCTATAACATTTCCTAAGGGGAGCATATAAATAGAAAATAAAATGGGACCTAAAATTGAACCCTGCCCCACACCACAGGCAATGGGGGCAGAGGAAGGTTTAGGTCTAGGTTTAGTCCTGGTTTATGTTTATCTTGGACCAGACTGTAATGTAACTAGAACTAAAAGACTTCCTAAAAGACCTTTAGAAGTTTAGTTTAGACCTGGTTTTGGGGGCAGTTTAGCTCAGTTTAGACTGTAGTCTATGGTTTAGACTTAGAGAAATCCTGGTTTAGTTCTGGTTAAAGACTTAGTGTTGGACTAGTTTACCATGTCATTGTTGTAAAAGAACATGTTACCACAAACTTAAATAATCAATAAATAACCTGGTTATAATTCTACCTGAAACTGTGAGTGTTATGAGATGGTGCATCTCCTCCAGCGGCGCTTGATCTCTTTTAGTCTTGGTCTGGTCTGGGTTTGGTCCTGGTCTCTGGAACAGGATGTAGCAGGTGTAGGTCCCAGCGTCTTCAGGACGAACGTTCTTCAAAACCAGAGCTGCATCTCCCCCAGTCAACTGCAACACAGAGACCGAGTCAGACCTGGGTCTAAAGGGGACTGGGTCTAAAGGGGACTGGGTCTAAAGGGGACTGGGTCTAAAGGGGACTGGGTCTAAAGGGGACTGGGTCTAAAGGAGACCAGATCTTACGTTGCGATCTCTGAGGTAGACCCGGTCTTTGTAAGTTCTGATTCTGGATCTCTTCCTTTTGTTCCTGGTTCATGGACATAGATGAACCCGGAGTGATTTCTGTCCAGGCGGCTCCACTGGAGCAGTTGGATCTGCTCCATTTTAGGTCCTGAACAGGGAAGAACCAGGTCCTGGCCAGGGTCTGCATGGACCCGCTTGTGCCCTTAGAAGAAACATGTCAAGTTACTGAAACATTTCACACTGGAGAATTATTTTACATCATCTTTATTTTAAATACAGGAGAATAAATTTACTCAAACAAGTGTGAATCACAGAGTGTAAATGAAGGAAAACAATTTCATCATGGGAAAAGCTCTAAAAGTCTGTTCTGTTCTTACTCTGCAGTAACAGTAGTAGTATAAGTCAGAGTAAAAGTACTCCTGCAGTAGTAGTCGCAGTACCTTTCACAGTGAGCCAGATGCTGGCCTGGGTCTTGTAATACTTGTCTTGTGATGTGACGTTCTGCTCTGAGGTCCGGCACTCGTAGGTCCCGGTGTCTTCAGGCTTCACATCGTGCAGGACTAAGGTCAAGTCTCCAGGTCCCACAGTGGGCTCTCTGAAGAACACTCTGCTCCTGTAGGACGGGATCTGGACCAAGACAACACCACGTCAAAACCCAAACAGAGACCAGGTTTAGTTTTTGAATAGTCCTTGATTAAGTCCAGGCATAGTCCTGGGTGAGTCCTCTCCTCGCCCTGGTTTAGTTCTAGTTCAGACCTGGCACAGATTTCATGTGACAGTCCTGGGTAAGACACACGGCTGCGTGATGGTTTAAAGGCCCCGTATCACACAGGCCACGTTTACATGATGGTTTTTTATTCATTATTATTTAATATGTAAATATGTGTAAAAGTCCAGATCCTACAAGTTCATTTGCCAAATTTTAACCCTTTGAATTTGAAGGACTGACCTTAAATAGTTTTTTAGATACAGAAATCTCAAAGTGGTTCCTCTGCTCAAAACAGGGGGTCAGGGGGGAGTGGACTAAATATCTTGAATGAGGAAAAGGAGTTGGGAGTGTGGTGGCTGAGCGTTTAGCACTCATGCCTCACAGCAAGAAGGTTCTGGGTTCAATCCCCGGGTCTTTCTGTGTGGAGTTTGCATGTTTCTCCTCGTGTCTGGATGAGTTTCCTCCATCAACCCAAAACCTGCTCCAGGTCCAGAACAGTTGATCGTCAAGGTCAGTTAAAAACAATCAATCAGTGAATCTGCCCAGAGACGACAGGCGGAAATCAACACTGATGCTACGACCTGATGTACCAACATGTACAACACTGTCAAGGTTAATGCAAAAATTGTGTCTCAAATAAATAAATAAATAAATGAACTTTGGGACTTTTGTCCCAGGGCAGCTGTGACTACAGAAGTGGTTTATCACCACCAAGTGTTGAGTGAATGAATAAAGTGAATGAGTAAAGTGTCTCTGAGTGTCCAAAAAAGTGCTTTATAAAACTGATGCATTATTATTATTATTATCATTATTATTATTATCATTATTATTATTATTATTATTATTATTATTATTATTATTATCATTATTATTATTATCATTATTATTATTATTATTATTATCATTATTATTATTATTATTATTATTATTATTATTATTATTATTATTATTATTATCATTATTATTATTATTATTATTATCATTATTATTATTATTTATTATTATCATTGTTATTATATCATCATTATCATTATTATTATTATTATTATTATTATCATTATTATTATTATTATCATCATTATTATTATTATTATTATTATTCATTATTATTATAATTAATTAATTATTATTATTATTATTATTAACCTAGAATTTTTTCAGTCAGATCTGAGATGGTCGAGTCGGGATTTGGAGATTTGTCCTGGAATTATCCTTTTGGTAACTTCAAAAGTCAATATAATCAATAAAAAACACATTTAGAAAAACTAATTTAAAAAAAAAATAATTAAATTTAATTATTAATAAAAAAACAACAACTTTGAAACTGGCAAAAAATCTAAGTCTAATCTAAATTCTGGTCATTTATAATCCAATATATAATTTTAAAGACAAGGATTAAAATACAGAGAATATTGAATAATATTGATGTTTATCTATTTTATGGTCTATTTCTTCTATTTTATTTCATTTAAAAAATCTAAATCCACATTATGTAGCTCACACAAGGGTTCACTTTAGCCCTGTTTCTAGTGGTACCTGGTAGCTCTCGTAGAGTCGGTTTTCACGGTAGAAGTAAACATATCCCTGATCGACGAGGTCCAGTCTGACCCACTGCAGCAGCTCCAGCTTGGACCGGGCCGGACCAAAACACTCCAGAGTCACATTCTGACCCGGGAACGTCTCCAGGACTGTGGAGAACACAAACAATCACCAGGTAAATGCTCCTCGTTTTGTTTTAAAACTGATTCATCAGGACAAAGGAGCGTTCTGAAACTTGAATAAAACCACCGTTTAAAGAGCAGAAACACATTATTCTTTACATTATTATAACCAGTGTTGGGAAGTTTACTTTTAAAATGTAATCCCCTACAGATTACAGATTACACACACCAAAATGTAGTTTGTAACGGAATCCATTTAATTACTTAAAGTGAGTAATGTAATCTGAATACTTTGGATTACTTGGTTTGCTGTAAAGACGAGGAAGTCTTCACATAAGAAGTTTTATCTGCTAAAAGAAAATAAAAAGTCCAGACTTTACTGAACCAAATTAGAAATATTATTGATAGAAGAAGAAGAGACACGGTCCATGCAGCAGGATTTAGTCCTGTTAAATCCTGTTTTAGTTCTGGTTTAGATCTTGTTTAGACCTGGTTTAGTCCTGGTTTAGACCTGGTTTAGATCTAGTTTAGACCTGGTTTAGATCTAGTTTAGACCTGGTTTAGTCCTGGTTTAGACCTGGTTTAGACCTGGTTTAGACCTGGTTTAGTCCTGGTTTAGTCCTGGTTTAGATCTTGTTTAGACCTGGTTTAGTCCTGGTTTAGACCTGGTTTAGATCTAGTTTAGACCTGGTTTAGTCCTGGTTTTAGACCTGGTTTAGATCTAGTTTAGACCTGGTTTAGTCCTGGTTTAGTCCTGGTTTAGTCCTGGTTTAGACCTGGTTTAGACCTGGTTTACCTGGTTTAGTCCTGGTTTAGACCTGGTTTAGACCTGGCTTAGATCTAGTTTAGACCTGGTTTTAGATCTGGTTTTAGACCTGGTTTAGATCTAGTTTAGACCTGGTTTAGTGTCCGGCAATAAGTGGAATTATTGAGAAAAAAAAAAAAAAAAAAAGGATATAGCCCAAAATGTGAAAACAGGAAAATCCCTCTGTGTAATCCATTTATTTCAACAAAGTAACTGTAATCCAATTACCACTCACTGAAACAGTAACTGTAACTGAATACAGTTACAGTTACTGTTTCACAGTTACTGACACATTTGACATTTTCACTGTTTTGATGAGTAAAATGTTTGTGTTTCATCTGAACTTTGCACAAGAAGAAATGGTTTAACAAAGACTTTAGTATCACAGCCACGATTTAGACATTATTTTTTATTGGACCATATCGAACTGATTTGAAATATATCGTATTGAATTATATCAAATCGTAAGCTCACTGTATCGAGATATGTATCGTATCGGCAAATTCTGACTGATACTCAGCCCTAAAACCAGAGCAGGATGTGGAGGATGGAGGAGACGTGCTCATGTCAGAGACACTAAACGACCAGAGCTGCGCTGTTGTGTTAAACCTTCTTTATCGTGACATATTATTTCCATGGTAAATAATCCAAATGTTTCCTGCACAACACATTCTAACTGATAATAAAAAGTTTGGGTGCTACTGAGGGAGCACATTCGTTTGTTAACGTTGAGCATTTACAGCAGCAAAACCAGGTCAAGTCCCTGAGCTCGTTCATGCGCTGGAGGAAATGAGCAGCGTTTGTTGCCTCAAAAACCAGGGGCCTCATTTATAAATCTCACTTACGCAAAAATCCGCGCGTGCGCTTCCTACGCCAACCGCGGTATTTTATAAAACTCGACTAAGGCGTGGCTCTTTGCTTAACTCTACACCAACTCGGGAACCTCCTGTAAACTCTACGCAAAGTCTGGAGACACGGGGAAAAAGCGACACTTGTGGAGAGAAGCAGAAGTGAACAGAGTTTGAGGAAGAGTTTGATCAGAAAATCCACGTATATAGAAGAATTACCTTTAAATTTGTGCATTTAAGTGTTTGGTTCAACAAAACACGGAGCAGGTCTGTTTATTCCACTCATTATTCTCCACAATATTAAACATTTAAACTCGTGCACGAGCGCGGCCACGTTCCCGGACTCGGTGCAGCGCAGAGTCCCACAGTCCACACCAAGACCACAGATTCTACAAAACACAACTGACCAACACAGAGGACGAAATAATGACCCGACCTGAGAGAAAAACTCTTCCCTCGGACGCAGCAGGAGCCAGACTTTGATTTAATGAACAAAACTTTAACACTTTTACTTTAGTCTTTACACACCGAGCACCAGAGTGACCCGAGTCTCTGTGACCCGAGTCTGTGACCCGAGTCTGTGACCCGAGTCTGCGGACAACACGAAGCCCACTGCCCGAACCTGACCCCAACCAAAATCTTCCCTACATTTTTGTGTAATGTGGAACTGAGCACATGAGAGCTGCTCTCTGACTGTATGAAGAACAGAATAATGTATAATAATAACACTCACAGACCCGCACTCACAGACCCGCACTCACAGACCCGCACTCACAGACCCGCACTCACAGACCCGCACTCACAGACCCGCACTCACAGACCCAGACCCACACTCACAGACCCACACTCACAGACCCACACTCACAGGTTCAGCATGTTTCGTGTGGACTTTAATTGGCAGAATAACATCTGTATCTGATGTGTTTCGTGTTAAATCTCCGTCCTCGTGTCCCTCCCTCGCTCCTTTCCCTCTCCAGGGGAGGGCATCTGAATCTCTCGCACGCGCTCATAATTTGACCATTCAGATCAGTGCGTGCACGTATCTACGTATATATATATATATATACACGTAGATATGTTTAGGGAAATCTCATTCACCAGTCACTTTACCTGCTCCTTTTATGGTGAGGTGGAGGTGTGAGGGGTGTGGTCTTTCCTTTTATGGTGAGGTGGAGGTGTGAGGGGGCGTGGTCTGTCCTTTTATGGTGAGGTGGAGGTGTGAGGGGGCGTGGTCTGTCCTTTTATGGTGAGGTGGAGGTGTGAGGGGGCGTGGTCTGTCCTTTTATGGTGAGGTGGAGGTGTGAGGGGGCGTGACGTGACGTGGGTTTACGTGCGCAAATTCTAGTTGCAGGTGGATTTATAAATCACAGGTTGCAGGTTTGGTTCGTGCGGTGGGTTTTCTAAATATGGAGTTTGCGTGGCGCACGACTCTCGTAGCTACAGACGAACGCACGAACTTACAACTCCTGCGCAGTTTTTATAAATGAGGCCCCAGGCGCGCAGAAGTGACTCAAACTGATGCCAGATCATCCACAACAACACTGTCCTGGACAGACTGGAGCTTTTGCGTGTCTTTAAGCCTTATTTACATTTTCTAGATCATTTTGCAACTGAGTGGTGATTCGTTTTGCCCGAGAATCTTTCATTTTATTTTTTTTCAAAGTATTTTTTATTAATTTTCAGACAATAAAAATTCCATCTGAACAACTGACCACGTTAACACAGGTCAACATATAACCAAAAATAATAATAATAATAATAATAATAAAATGAGTAAATAAAATACAATAAAGATAATGATAATAATAATAACAAATAACTAATTCCACGCTCTCACACACTCATACACATTCACACATTCACTATGCAATACTTGCACAATACAATCCATCAATCGCAGGTGAGTCCTTTGATTTATATTTTGGTGACCATATGTACTTAAAACGAATAAAATAAAATATAAATTAATATATGTATATATATATATATATATATATATATACACACACACAACAATAATAAATATAAATAAATAGATAAATAAAAATAAATAGAAATATATTAATTAAAAGTTAGTAAAGAAACATGAATTATTAAATGGATATAGATAATATATATAAAAAAGTAATAATACTAAAATAAAAATAAATAAATAATAATAATTAATAAACAATAAAATGAGATAGGTAAATAATAATACTAAAATAAAATTGTAATAACTACAACAATAACAACAACAACATCTATGACAATAAATAAAAATCTGTTTTTGTTACTGCTATCATCATCACTGTCAATGCTGGACAACAACAATAACAATATTATTCTATATATATATATATATATATATATATATATATATACACACATATACCTACACATACATCACCTCCACTTTTTGGATATAATATTTAAATAAGGTTCCCATAATTTCACAAAGTCTTTTCGTTTTCCCTTTGCTATAAATGTCAATCTTTCAAGGCCGACACATTCTGAAATTTCCTTAACCCATTGTTTTGTTGAAGGGGCTTCAATGTTTTTCCAGTTTAAGGCGATGGTTCTTCTTGCATGTAGTAGTCCAAAGTCCAATAATTTTGTTTGCTTTTTCGTCTGTAATAAACCTTCCGGATATATTCCCAATACACAAAGTTTTGCACACATAGGAATCTTTACACTGAATATTTCTGTCAAACATTTTAAAACTTCTTTCCAGAATATTTGAATTGCCGAGCATTCCCAAAGACAGTGTATAAGAGTTCCTTTATAATTACTGCATTTGGTACAAGTGTCAGGAATATTGCTGGAGATATGATGGAGGATTTCAGGAGTTATATAAACCCTTGTTAACCATTTATATTGAAGTAGTCTGAGTCTCGTATTTATTGTTTGTTTTTGTGCTCTTAAACATGCTTCACTCCAATCTTCTTCACTTATGTTTTCGTGCAGGTCACTCCTCCAGGCGTTCAATTTGTCCAATGATGATTCTTTAGAATGAACCATGAGCAGATTATAAAATTTGGACAGTAAACCTCTCCCTTTCTGGTGTTTTACAATAATTTCTTCAATTGTTGATAAGCAAGGGATTTGCATAATAATTTTTCATAATTTGATGAAATGAAGTTTCTTATTTGCAAGTATTTAAAGAAATGTTTTTTGGGAATTTGAAATTTGTTGCACAGCTCCATAAATGTAAGCAACTTGCCATTTACATACAGATCTTTAATTGCCTGGATTCCCCTCGTTTTCCACAGTTTGAATCCTCCATCCATTCTCCCAGGCGCAAATTGGTTGTTATGCCACAGAGGTGTAAAGCGAGATATTTTTACAGGATTACTGACAATTTTATGAGCATTATGCCACATAACTATTGTATGTTTTAGAAATGGATTTTTTGTCTCTCTTTTTAAAGTTTTTAAATCGGCTGAATATAGATAGCTATTTATAGGTAAATTTAGACATGATTGTTGCTCGATGGATACCCAGCCTGGAGGAGTGTCCGCATCAAAATAATGTGATGCTGCTGTCAATTGCGCAGCCATATGGTACCATTTAAGGTTAGGAAATTGAAGTCCCCCTCTTTCATAGGGCAGATATAGTAACTTAAAACGAAGCCTTGCTTTCCTGTTGTTCCATATGAAGTCACTGAATATTTTATTCAAACTATCAAAAAACGATTGAGGTAGTGGAAAAGGAAGTGTTTGGAAATAATATAAAAATTTGGGCAGAATTGACATCTTAATTATATTTATACGTCCTATCATGGATATAGGTAAGTTTGACCATCGACCAAGTGTTTCCGTGATCTCATCCACCAGGGGGTCGTAGTTAGCAGCAGTTATTTTGTCTAGATCTGGGGTAATTTTGACACCCAAGTATTTGAGCCCATCAGTAGCAATAGCAAATTTAGTTTTTATTGGAGGGGATTTCCTGTCTTCATCATTAAGAAACATAAGTACTGATTTATTATTGTTGATTTTGTATCCAGAAAAGTCACCAAATTTCTCACGTACGTTCAACAGATTGGGAATGGTGTTTTTTTAAATCTGTCAAAAAAAATATAATGTCATCTGCAAATAAAGATATCACATGTTTTCTGCCACCAATCTCGAGCCCTGAGAGTCCTGTCTGCGTCCTGACTGCTATGGCCAGGGGTTCCATTGCTAATGTGAATAAGATTGGCGATAACGGGCATCCTTGTCTTGTCGACCGCTGTAAATTGAATGGTCTGGAGATGTTGTTGTTGGTTAGAACTTGGGCAGTGGGATTTGTGTATAGCAATTGAACCCATTTAATGAATTTCTCTCCCAGCCCATATCTTGGAAGTAGCTTTAGAAGATAGTTCCATTCAATTCTATCAAATGCTTGACAAGCATCTACTGCCAGCATAGCTGTGTCTCGAGTATTATGTTTCTCATGCAGTATATTTAAAACGCGCCTAATGTTGTGATAGCCTTGCCTCTGCTGAACAAAACCCTGTTGGTCATTTAATATTAATTTTGGTACATGATTTTCTATCCTCTTGGAAAGTATCTTGCACAGTATTTTCATATCACACCCCATGAGACTTATTCCTCGATATGATGCACAGTCTGTTTGTGGTTTATCATGTTTTAAGATCAGGGTGATAGTTGCAAGTCTCAATGAGTCTGGGAGGTTCCCAATTCCATATGATTCTTTGAACATGTCTAGAAGTGGTTGGGCTAGTTTATTTTTGAATACTTTATAAAATTCTACGGGCAGCCCATCCTGCCCCGGTGCTTTCCCGCTGTTGAGATTCCCTATTGCTTCTATTATATCGGTAACTGTCAATGGCCTGTCAATCATCTCTTTGTCCTCCTCAGTTAATTTTTGAAACTGTAATTTATCGAGGAAGTTGTTTTGGACTGCTTCATTCACGTTACATTCAGATTTATATAGCTGCTCATAAAATTCCCTAAATCTTTCATTTATTTCTGAGGGGTCGGTAGTCAGGACACCAGAGTTTAATTCTATATTGAGAATTGCTCTATCAGATTGCATTTTTTTAATCCTCCAAGCCAACAATTTACTTGCTTTTTCTCCCTGGTCATAATAAGCTTGTTTTGTCCACATTAAACTTTTTGCCACTTTGTCAGTTGTTAGTTTATCATATTTAGCTCTCATAATTCTCAAATTTTGCAGTTTTTGGGGGTCCTTAGTACTATAAAATTCATTTTCTAAGGTTTTAATTTGTTCCTCCATTGATAAAGTCTCTGCCTTTTGCTTTCTATTGAGAGTACCTGTGAAACTTATAATTTCACCTCTAATATAAGCTTTAAAAGCTTCCCATCTAATACTAGCAGAGGTTTCATCTTTATTAAGGTCAAAATAATTATCAATGCATTTTCCTACAAATTTTGTGAATACTTCATCTCGTAGTAAAAAGGTCTGTAACCTCCATCTTTTTGGACTGTGTTTAAATCTACCCAATTGTACTTCAACCGATACAGGTGCGTGGTCACTCAATACAATACTGTTATACCAACAGTCTTTCACATGAGGCTCCAAGTCTATAGATGTTAAAAAATAGTCAATTCGCGAGTGACTCTTGCAACTGCCAGAGAAACATGAATACTGTATATTAGTTGGATTTTTGGTTCTCCATACATCATGCAATTTTAGATCTTGCATATAATTATGAAGTATCTTCCTAGTTTTAGTATGCGTACTATCGTTTTGGGACGATCGGTCCAGGACTGGGTCAAGGGTGCAATTAAAGTCCCCTCCGATTATATACGTACCGTCCAAAACAGATAAAGTCAAAAACAGATTCTCAAAAAAGGATGGCGAGTCATCATTAGGGCCATACACAGTTATAAGGTTTATTTTTTGTGAGAGAACAGTACCCTGTAGTATAATATATCTCCCTCCCGGATCGGTAATAACCTTGGATTTTTGGAACGGTATTGATTTGTGTATCAAAATCAAAACCCCTCTGGCATGACTAGTAAAGCAGGCGTGGAACACTTGGCCGGGCCATCTCTTAGTTATTATTTGGATGTCTGATGTAGTCAGGTGGGATTCTTGAATAAAAACTATTTTAGATTTTAGAAGCTTGATTCTATCTAATATTTTTTTTGCTTTAACTAACTTTATCATTCCCCTGACATTCCAGCTTGTGATAATAACCTTATAATTTTGTTGTGTACTTTCCATCCATTTTATTGTGATGTTTAACTGGGATTAGGACTGAAGATTGACACACCTTTTTTCCTTGATAAAGTGCAAATTAACACATTCATACACATTCACGCACACATTCACATCAAACAAAGAACTACTTTTGAACTTCCCCTTTACCCCCCCAGACATTCCGTTAATTAGTCCCCCCCCCCCCACTGAACACTGTGGATTTCCTGGATGCTGATCCACAATAATGAGGAGCAGCTAGTCCACATGAACCTACTCACCCTGTGCTAACACCAGCACCCCAACACCATGATGATTCCTGTATCAATGTATCAATCTAACCCTTTTGGATTCGTAGTATTTGTACTTTTATAAACATAACTGCCAATTTCAACATTGAGAATTAAACAAAATAATTCCAATTGCAAAAGAGGTAGTAAACAAAAAGAAAAACTTGCCTTTTAAACATTTCAGACATCACCTGTTTTTTTGTTTTGAGTCCTTTCAAAAAGTCTTTATACCAGATGCAGCCATCCACGTCAGTTCACTCGTCACCGGTGTCCCCCGCCGCGTGCAGTCGCCTGTAGAACTCCTCCGCTTCTTTAGGTGTGGAGAAAAGATGAATCTTGCCGTTGTGGAGGATTCTGAGCTTGCATGGGTTGTACTGAAACCCCCGGAATGCATTAATGTCAATGAAGTTCTTAATCACGGGGTGAAAGCTTTTCCTGATCCGGGCTGTTTCGGCAGAGAAGTCCTGTGCAAACGTGATTCTCTGCCCGTCGTGAATGATTTGCTGTTTTCTCGCTTCACGGTACACGAACTCTTTCTCCTGGAAGTTTAAAAAACCGGACAAGAACAGCTCTATTTTGGCCCGGTCTTGCTGCTGCTAGTGTGCGGTGGACTCGCTCCAGTGTGAATGATTTGTGTGTCTGTCCCAGCCACTTTGGAAGCATCTCGGTAACATAGTCAATTAGCGGTCTTTTCCCCTCCTCTCCTTCACGGATTCCAAACACTCGGAGATTTTTACGTCTCCCCCGATTTTCCAGGTCTTCTATTTTTGCCTCCAGGAGAGCGATGCGTTTGCAGGCTGACTGTAAATTTGCGTCGGCTTCATCCTGTTTCATCTCGGATGCGACTATGCGGGCTTCAGCCTCTTCAATGCGAGCGGTGTTGGCCGAGACATCTTGTTTTGTCTGCGTCAGTGCACTCTCTAACGTTGTCAGAGTGGCTGATATGTTGGTCAAACCCTGGTCAATGCCATCAAGCCTTCCTCCGAAGTCGTAGCGCAGTGATTTTATCTCAGATAGCACTTCTACAACTCCAGCCATGTTAGCTTCATCCGTGTTAGCACTAGTGCTAGCTTCTGTGCTATCCTGGAGGCTTGCTGTGGTCGTTCTGGGGGTTGCTTTGCGTCCGCGAGTGAAAAGTTCACACTGCTTCGTGGCTTGTGTTTTTGACATGTCCTCAACCTTGTTTGTCTGACAAAAGCTGGCAATTAATGAGGGTTTTGATCATAAAAGTAAAGGCATGGTGTCGGAGCCTCGATGCTAAGCTGCCATCTTGGTCACGTGGCTCCCGGAAGTCCGATCTTCATTTTAACCGTGGATTCGCGTGTGACCCGCTACGAATACGTATTTTGTTTGTTTAGAATATATGGATAATGGCAAAAGAAAGAATTTCTTTAGCTCAACCTATTGATTATTTTCTGCTTCGAGCCTGTAATTTGAAATGGAGGTCCGAAAAATCCAACTTTCAAGACGCGACAGGAGAAAAAAAAAAGAAAAGAAGCTAAACTCACCTTTCTGAGCCTCGAGCAGAACCGGGGTCAGACCCAGCAGGACCAGACCGAGCAGAAACTGAACCAGAACCAGGACCAGGACTTTGTCTCCAAGTGAGAGCCATGTGACGCGCCCTTGTTTCGGATCGTCTAATGGCCCGTAAGGCTCAGAAAGTTGGAAAAGTTGAAGCCAAAGATAGTGCAGATGGGCGGGGGGAATAATGATGATTATTAGTATTGGCCCTCGCCACTTCGTTAGGGGCGAGGGGTATTGGGTATTGTTCTTCCTCGTTTCTTTTCTTTTTTTTTTCCTTTTCCGACCAAATGATCGCATTTTTGACCCCCTGAACATGGACGAAAACACCATGGGTATCACCCGGGTATCAGATCGATCGGCCCGGCGAAAAATTTGATAAAATGGGCATCGCGACAATGACCAAAGTGACCCGACTCAACAGCGCCACCTAGAATTGGACATGCTTAGTCCGATCGTGCTGAAATTTGAATCACTAATGCGAGTTTTTGGCCTGAATATAATACACTATAAAACATATGAAAAGTGAACTCTATAGCGCCCCTACCATAGACATGAAACGTTAACATTATCAAATTAGCACCAAATTTGGAAATAAAATTCTATGCATGATTACAAGCAAAAAAGTTTATTACGGACATGTGGTAGTTTTTCACAGTTGGCCACCAGGGGCGCAAAGACTCCCACCAAAAATAGTTTAAAAAAAAATTATTATATGCCCATGTTTAATTGGATCATGCTGAAATTTGAAATCACTAATGCGTGATCTGAGCCTGAATATAATACACTATAAAACATATGAAAAGTGAACTCCATAGCGCCCCCTACCATAGACATGACCCGTCAACATTATTGGATTTGTACCAAATTCGGGAATTAAATTCTATGCATGATTACAAGTCAGAAAGTTTATTATAGACATGGTGCATTTTCCACTGTTGGCCAGCAGGGGCGCAATGACTCCTTAAAATATTTAAAGGTGCATTATGGAATGTGTCTAATGGACGAGCTGTCAGCCTGGGCGGATGTCGGGAAGAGATGGTGGCGTGTTGGGGCGGTCGCGAGTCCCCGGCGGTCGCGCCTGGGGAGCGACTGCGTGCCGGGGCGAGGGCCACCATCGCCGCGCGTGGCTTTAATTATTATTATTATTATTATTATTATTATTATTATTATTATTATTATTATTATTATTATTATTATTATTATATTTTTATGATACATATATACAATATATAGAGCATAAACACAAAAGCAACATTCACCATCATTCATAACAACGTGTACAAATTAAAGGATGGGAAAAAAAACAAAAACAAAAAACAGACTCCAGTAAAAACCCAAAACACAAACCCAATTAAAAAAACTAATTGAAAGCAGCATCAGCGACTGATCTGGGTTTTTCGGGAGAGACGACCTGTGTCTTTGTAGAGGTTGATTATTGAAACTGATGAATAGACTGAAAATAATCAACGTTAGTCACTTTTCAGAAGTTGCAGTTTGAGTCAATTTGGGGAAATCCAGATAAAAATGTGTTTATAGGGTAAAATGTTCTCTTATTTTATTGAGGTTTGATACTGAAATGAACAGTCCAAGTTTTACTCCACTGTGTGTGTTTCAGTCAAATTTTCCTCTGGGTTGAATTTTATTTTTGCTGAATAGATTAATCCAGATGTGTTTGTTATTGCATTTTTCATTAAGAAATTCAATTCCATTTATGTATAAATTGTAGTTGTTAAAACTGGAGCTCTGTGTTTCCCTTCATCAGTTTTCACACTCACCTCTGGAACAGACTCACCTCTACGACTCATTTATCTTCTCTGAACACAACTGGGAATCGATACTTCTGCATAAACTTCTCATATTTTTAAATTTGGCCCAAATCATCAAACAAATTAGACACAAGAATGTTTTTTTTGTCCACCAGGTTTGAAAGATTATTTTTTTTACCTTTTAGAATGTTTTCATTGATCATTTTATATGTATACACATATATATATATATATATATATATATATATATATACATGTAAATATAATACATGCACACTGTTGGGCAAGTTACTTTAAAACTGTAATGTGTTATTTATGACTTATTACTGTCATTTGTTACATGTAATTT